GTTGGAAGAAGTGCAGCCAGAGTGCTCCTTGGAGGCCAGGATGGCCAAATTTCGTCTCTCATGCTTAGGACATATTTTTAGGAGGGACCAGTCGATGGAGAAGGATATCATGTTTGGTAAGGTGGAGGGTGAGAGAAAAAGGAAGACCCCCAGCAAGATAGATTGGCCAAGTGGCAGCATCAATGGGCTCAAGCGTGGCAACAGTAGTGAGGTTGGCCCAGGACTGGGCAGTGCTTCGTTCTGTTGTGCATAGGGTCACTATGGGTCGGTACCGACTCGATGGCTCCTAAAACATCATGTCCATGCAGAGGACTCCAGGGTGAGTTGCTCGCCTATTGGCCAAACACTGCTGATACCCGTGGGCCGCTCGGCCCCTCTGTAGCTGCCCTCCCCTCCAGTGGGGAGTCTGGGCCTCTCAACTCCCCTGTACACCTAGTCCTGGCTGAAACAGGGACCCCCATCTTGGAGTAGAGGCTCCAAGGGGCAGGTAGGCTGTGAAGAACCTGCCGGCAGCCTGAGAGCACCTGGCTACTGGTGGCAGGTCACCACGTCACTTTCAGAGGCACCTGGATTGCGTGACCTGTGACTTTGGGTGGCAGCAAGCATTCCAGGTTGTGTGGGGCCACATCTGGTGGGGTCAGTGCTGAATCCCAGGCACCCCTGGAACCTTGTGGATAGCATTGAGCCTTCTAGTCCGAGGAGACGCCACACCGCATGTGTTTGGCATGGCACTCACGTGGCTGGCTGGCCTGCCCCTGGAGCTGGGGGAGGAGAACCACGCACTAACAGAGTCATTCGAGTGCACCATCAGGGTGACCATCGTCTGTAGCACCGCTAGGGACACAGGGGCAGTGCCATCTGTACATGGGCCAGCTGTGGGTCCACAGACAAAACCAGGCGAGAGCGAGGCAGGGCTGTACACACACCTCCTCTGCCCCACCTACTCCTCAGAGCAGTGGCCACACCTGAGCACGGCCCCGCACCCGTGCCACACACAGGCCCCGTGTCCTCAGCACTCTCACCTCCAGAGGCTTCTGCTGGGCCCTCCGCTGCCCACACAGCTCCGGCCTCAAGGCCCTGCCCAGGGCACTGCTCATTGACAACACAGTGGTTCTGAGGGAAATCCGGCCCCTACTAGGCTGGGACAGACAGATTCTGGGGAACCCCGTGGGAGCCTGGTTCTGCCCATGTGGCCCCCATGAGACACTCGGGCTAGGCAGGTGAGTGGAAAGTGGGTCGGGACGCACACACAGGCTCCAATGAAGTGATACCATGTGACACAACCCTTTCAGAGCACTGGTATTGAGGCGAGGCAATCACAAACGAGAACCGAGCCAGGATACATGTGGTTTGCCAACAGTCATTACAAACACAGACATTTCTAACTGAGAGATTTTAAAACCGGCCCCAGAGAAGTTACCCCTTAGTGTTGGCTGCAACAGAACCTTGGGGGCAGCTGCCCCACCTGAGGCCAAAGGCAATGTGTGCCCACAAGGTGTCCTCCGCTCCACTCCTGGCAACAAGGGTCGGCCATCCTCAGAGCCCAGCCTCTCACTCACAAATGCACTGTGGCCCAGGGACCAGGGCTCTGATGACCACAACAGAACATTCCAGTTCCAGTCCCAGGTCAGCTTCCCTTTAATGTGCAGGCTCAGCGGGGTGGGACCTGCTGTCTGAAAATGACCTCTTCTTAGACGCACAGCCCGGGGCAGGTCTGCAGGGGAGCAGGAGGTGCTGGGCTGTGGGGTCCAGGCCAGGACACGTGTCTACAGGATGGTGGTGGAGACGACCATCAGATGGGGACACAGGGACGAGCTGGCTGTCCTCGGGGGCTAGAACTGCTCCGACAGCAGCTCCCACAGCCGCTGGGAGACGGTGTCCTTGCTGGTCCGCACTGTGAGTCGGTACATCTGGGAGAGAGGACAAGGCGGGTCACGGGCACTGTCCCGTCTGTCAGCACAGGGCCAGGAGGGGCAGGGGGATCTGCATGTGGTTGGGCAGCTTTGAAGGCTATCTGGCAGAATGGGCTGTCCAGGAGCTGGGGCTAAGGATGGTCACAAATTCTGTAGGGCCACAGCACAGGCACACAGAGGAGCAGCGAACACAGTGTTAGCAGGACACCACTGAGCAAAGCACACTGATGCCAGAAGTGGGCACACGGTGCACACACACGTGACATCCTAGCAGGTGGGGGGCAGGGGACATGGGTGGGGTGCTCTGAGCACAGCTGGGGAGGAGTCTGCAGAACACTTAGCTCTCCACAACGCACACCGAGCCCTCTTGTCCCCCTGGCCTGCGCTCAGGGGGTCTGGCATGACCTGACCTGGGCTTGCAGGTTGGGCTCCAGGCGCAGCAAACATCCTATCTGGGTGGTTTTGGTGTGGATGATACCGGCGCCCACAAAATTGGCAGGATTAGGATCGACCTCTTCAAGGAGCGCAGAACCAAACCCAATAATCTGCCAGAAGAGACGTGGAAACAGGACATGTGCAGGGCAGCAGAGGGCAAAGGCCCAGAACTATTCAGGACAGAGCTTTCTCCACCAAGGCCTGGGGGTGCCCTGGGCCAGCACACACCTTGGCCTTGGTGACTTCCGTGTCCATCGGGTGTTTGGCTTTGAAGATGTTCTGTACTTCCTGCTGTGGACTAGGAACAAAACCAGAGAGCATGAGCTCGCCCCACGTGACCATGACCTAGCCCGTGAGCTCTGTCCACAGCGGCTCCACAGTGAGCATGACCTAGGCCACGTAACCACTCCAGCCCCCTCACTTGCTCAGCTGCTTCCAGCGCTGGAAGAAATCCTGAGATGCCATCTCTGTGGGCTGGAAAAACTTGTTGAGTGTGATGGGCAGCTTTACGGACACATTCTGGAAGGTTCCCCCATACCTAAGTGCAAAATGAGGTGATCTGGAACTCAACTGAGCTGGCAGAGGGACACGCACGTCCCACCAACTCAGGGCTGGGCGGGCGGTCACCCTGGCAAGGGCGTCACATGCCTGACTGTCCTCAGAGCTCCTATTTCCATTCTGTGTCAGTGAGGATGAGGGTAGGAGGGGGTCACTCTCTGGGACCTTCACCACTACTTCACCTACTTCCTGGAAGCAGGAATTGTGTCTGTTTCATTTCCTGTGTCATTTCCACTGTTTTCCCCGCATGAAAACACTGAAGAAAATTCAAATTTGCATATAAAATAGAACAAGAGCTCGTGTACATGTAATTTCCTACATTCCGAAAGGTATATAACCTGGAATTCTCTGCTATTTTCAATGCTGAAAAATGGGCTTTTCCAAAATCCATGCCACATAAAAGTCCAGTGGGAGGGTCTACACTGGCTGCAGTCACTGACAGGTAAAGGGAACCTCGGGTCACCCCACAGCAGCACACAGGATCACTGTCAGGGGACCAGAAAGACAACTGCGGCTCCCAGTCTGGGTCTGAAGCCATCACTCCAGGTGGCACCACACTCAGGCCACGCTCTCCCTGTATTCTCCAAAGGTTGTGAGGGGCCAGCCACCCGCACTGGACAAGGTGGCCATGGCCATTCTCACGATTCTCACAATGGCCCAAAAGAGGAGCCAGTCCTGGTCACACAGGCACCTGCAGGGTGGGCAGAGATCTGAAGGACAAGCTGAGGGCCACTGTGCCCCACAATGCCCACTCCCCCACACCCCCACCGCCGATGGCCCTGCCCTGCCTGGGGCTCCACAGAGTCCTACATGGGCAGCTCGTCACCTGAACTGGATGTTGAGGACGGGGGCCTCAGAGAAGTCGGACAGGCTCTCGATGTTGACCACCTGCTGCACCTGCGCACCCCCGTCCACCGTCGGATCCACTGGCTTGGTCTGCAGGTTCAGATGTAGGTGTGTGTTAAGGACTTCAGGTACTGACAGCACAGTGGTGACCCCTCGTGACACTCTACACTAAGAGTGACACCGCCAACCTCACTGACCACGAGCCAGAGCCAACTCCATGACAACCAATGACAAGGCTGCGGCCTGGACTGCCGCTGTTAGCAGAAAGCAGCAGCAGAGAACGGGGGATGGAGGCTCCAACAGCGGGCAAGTCCCAGACAACTGCCGTCACCAGACATCTCCAGCACCCTCCTTGAGCCAACGTCACACTGCTAAACTCTGCCATCCCCACAGGGCCCAGAGCGGCCACCCCTGATGGCGGGCTTGATTCTCAATAGAGATACTCAGAAGCCTTGTTGGCACTGTGGCCTACACGCTGGGCTCGTCACAAGGGTCAGCTCCGCCAACGACTCCGTGGGAGATAAGGCTTTCTGGTCCCAAAGAGATTTACAGGCTCCGAAACTCTACACGGGGTCGCTATGAGCAAGAAGCAGAGCCACAGCAGAGCTAACCCAACAGCTGGGCACTGAGTGACTGTCCTGTGGTACAGCCACTCAGAAAGGTGGTCTGCTCACACATGTGCATTTTCTCCAAGGTTTGAAATAGGTAGAGCACCTTCCCCTGCCTGTGGGGCTCTTTTTCACCCCAATTTTATTGGGTGGACCTATCCCTGGAGTGGGAGTCCCTGGGTGGTACCGACAGCTTAGAGCCTGGCTGTTAGCCAAGAAGCTGGCAGTTCAAGTTCACCCACAGGGGTCTCAGAAGAAAGACTTCGCTTAGCTATCACCTTCTAGAAAGCCCACCACTGGAGTCCTACTCGGATGCACATCGCCAAAAAGCTGGCATGCACTCTTCCCTGTATTTGCTGGAGAGCGTTCTAACGACATCTTAGTACTTACAAAAGGGTGCACAGAGAGTGCCCCCACACCAGCAGCCTTCCCCAGCCAGCCCCCCCTGGCACAGGCAGGAAAGGGAGCCAGCATGCAGGGGAGCGGTGGGGAATGACCACCCAGGAGAAGGGAGGAAGATGAAAAGGGAGGCTAACTAGCCCCCTGCGTCCTCTCAAGAACGAGGGCACAGCACCCCGCCACTCATTTCACTCGCCCAGACCCCCATACAGGGCCGGGTAGGTGAGGGCCTCACAGCAGCGCCCACTCCACCTAGCCTTGATGATCAGCACCATAAAGTACAAAAGCCTCCTCTAGAGCAGACCCCATGCTTCTGTGTGTCTGAGGGCAAAGAGGCCTCAAAGTCAAGGATATTGGACTGCAGGCCATCAGAGCAGATTAGCGTTGGTGTAAAATTTAAGAACTGTGTCGAAGTCTTGTTACCATAAAATATAAACATCCGACCTAGAGGGAAACAAGAGGAAAACCGTTTATTTCACACACATCATTTCCTACTTCACCTAAATACCAACTGTGGAAAGAAACAAAGAGTCCCCGACCCCCAGTAAAATTTAAATTATGATCTCTTTAACAATCACCTTTTCTAGCTCTGAAAATAGCACGCCTAAGTTGGAAGTAAGAGCACCCACCTTGCCCTCCCAGCCTCCAACTCTGCACATGTGGACCCAGGCATGAGTAACCGTCCGGAGCCCCCCGGGGGCCTGACCCAAAGGAGACCCACACTGGTGCCCACAGAGCTGGCCACCCTATTCACACTGCACACACCGAAAATGACGCTGCTCCTTTGCCTTCAGAATGTTGGTGGGTGAGCCTCAAACACTCCGAGAGGGACCAGCACTGACCATCACCCTCCCACCATTATGAACAGAAACAGCGTCCTGGGTTTGGTCCCATGGCCCCAGATGGCCCCAGAGCCCTAGCACTTGCTCTGATCGGGTCTGAAAACCCCAAGTGTGTCTCCAGAGCAGCGTGTCGTGAGTGATGCGGTGGCTGCACCGCTTTGTCAGCAGAGCTAGGGGTAGACACCGTCCTACTCTGTAACCCTCCCAGACACAAGTACCTAAGTTCTGCCGGAATTCAGACTTTAGTCCAATCTGAAGCAGCTGGTTCTCAAAGAGCACACCATTATTTTTGCAGACGAACCTGGGGGACAGAACAGGTGTGTGTCGCTCACAGCCACCCTCTGAAAGCAGAGACCAGCTCCACTGAGGCGCCAGGGTAAACACAGCAGAGGCATCGCGGTGTGCCCACCCACCCCGGGGCTGGGGCGGATGCAGCACAGCCCCGCACACCCACGCTGTCTTCTGGAACACTCTGGGCCCGTCCCAGGCTGGCCCTCAGCGCCCATCTACCCTGGGCTCGCAGGGACACACACACACACATACACACACGAGGCTGCCTCTATTCCCGCTGGTCCTACTGGACACTGGCACCCTCTGCAGGGTGCACTTGGGGCTGGTAGATGGGGGTTGAGGGGAGCCGGGTAGTGTGGAAAGGACACAGTGATGTGTGGCCCGGATGCTGTGCCCTGAGACCTCAAGTCATGGGTGCTGACGCGATCCTGCAACTCGGCTCTCACGCTGCTCCACTGCCCGCCCGGAGAGACGCGAGCGGTGCTTACTTGCGTATAAGTTCATCGGCATCACGCACAGTTTCAGCGGGCTCCTCAGAAACTACCTCAGTGGAAGCCAGGTCAGGGCTGATCAAGCAGTACAGAAAGAAGACAAAGGAGGCAGCAACAGAGACGCAAGAGGAACAGTTAGTACAGACAGGACAGCTCGGTTCGTGTCCGGCTCACCGCTTGCTCACTCGCTGCCCTCTCTCTCTATGGTCAGTGCTCCTCCAGAGCGTTTCATGCCACGTGCTGCCACTGCCCTGGCACTCACCACAGCCGAGAGGAGCAGGCTGCCTGTGAGCGCCGGGCCACAGCGCCCAGCACCACCAAGCTCAGTCTCAGCAGCACACTGTCCAGACACCAGGCGAGTGGCCAGAGTTTTGGCTTAGCCTCTGAGGCTGAAGTTTATGGATGGGCAAATGGAACCGAATGGAGGCCAAGCAGCCTGGCAGCCAGATGGAAGTTGCACCAACCCAACTCTGGCCCTTCTGCTGGGCAGCCAAGCAACTCAGGGCCACAGCCACCAGCGGATGCTGGCCAGCACGGGGAGCAAGCAAGGACTATGTCAATTTCACACAGTCTCCTAGGTACTCTCCTGCCCAGTGGGTGGCCCCACGCAGCGGGGCTGTATCTCTGACAATCACTACAAGGTGCTGGCAGCCCCTGGAAGGCCTCAATGCCAGGGTGTCATACTCCTGGGGCAGGGATGCTCAGGCCCTGCGCCCCCTGGTGATGTTTAGCTGCCCCAACCCAAGAGTCCGGATGGATTCTCTGAAGCTCTTTTCATTCTCCACCCAGCAGTTTTAAAGACCCCTGTGCTCAGCCAGAAAACTAATACCAACCCAAAGCAACTTTTAAATGCACCTTTCCCGAAGTCACAGGAGTAAGAATTCCTGGTAATGTGAATACCGAGAAAGGGAAACTTTTCAAGCAGTATTCTACTATAACCTCAAAATAATGAGGTAAAAGGTTCCTTTCATCTTGGAAGGGTCTGTGGGAGGTGGCCCACAGGACATGGATAAGGAGACCAGATGGGGACCAAGGGCAAGCAGGAAAGAAAGCGCAGAGTCCATGTGATGAACAGAACTGAGAAGGAAGTGGGCTGGCAGGACAGCAGACAGGCTCAAGACAGGTGGCACATGGCAGAATGGAGATGTTATGGCATACGCTGGCCGGTAAAGCGACAACAGTGTAGCCTAACAGGGACAGGGCGGAGGGGACAGACAGAATCCCGCTACAGAGAGTGTGAAACCCGTAAAGAACACCAGCTGACGTCACGCAACAAACATCACTACAGACAGACACAACTTAGAGCCATACACTGGCTTCTTGGAGCCGCTTTCCTTCAGGGAAACTGTGTCTACTGGAAACCAACAGCCCACACAGGTAGGGGCAGGGGTGGGGTGAAACACAGGAGAGGCGTGGCCCTCCCACCTGACAAGGCTGAGCCCACTACCTGGCGAAGTTATCTTCAGAGCCGGGAGCGAGAGGCGCAACTGCCGAAGCCGAGTCCGAGAACACGTCCACGAGCAGCCCACCGCCACCACCAGAGGAGGGTGGGGGGCCTGTAGGGACGGAGGGCACAGCCCCGAGACCCAGGAGGTCAGCCGACGGCGAAGGAGTAGACTAGAAGAGAGAAAAGGACAAATTAGCAGCGACCTCCCAGGCACATGGAGCCTCCACACCCCACTCAGCAGGCCCACCACCTCCCACCGTAGACACATCCACAGCCCCCAGGGCCAGCTCCCAAGCACTGGCCCCAGAACAGGTACTGCAGGGCTCAGAGCTGCCCCTCAGAGCGCACCCTATACGGAAGCTTGCACAATTAGTCACAACTTCACACAACTCAAAAAACAGTCTGTGTATTTTTCACAAATGTTGCTTGAATGGAAAATACAGTTCTGCAATGCTATTCCCTCTGTATACAAGGTAGACAGAGGTGGGCAACTTAGACACTGGCTACCTAAAATGAGGGGTGATAAAGACACAAAGTGACTGGCTTACAAGTTGTCAAGAGGGAGTTTAGTTTAAGAGTGTGTAAGCGAAGACAGAATCACCACTGAATAGCTTTCATCTTGTCTAGACGGGTCTGGTAAAAAGAGATGGGGATAAGATTCTTTTGATTCAATAGTGAGTAACTGTTATCATGACTAATTGTGACTGTCACAACTGTAAAAGTAGAGGTTTTGTAACAAAAACTAGGGAATAGTTAATCTTATAGTCCAGAAACAGAGGCTCCTGGGACCATCAAGGGAGAAGAGCACAAGTGGAATGCGGGACCCTAGCCAGAGAAGCAGTGACACCAGAGATGGAGGCAGAGATGGGGACATGGAGAGAGGGAGCAGCTGAGGACTCTAGATTCATGGGAAAGAGAGGGACTGAGGGCTGGTGGCCAGGAGGCAGACTTGCAGAATGTGCCCTTTGGTGGTTTAAAGTATTATATATGCCTGAGTGTTTAAAAAAAAAAAAAAAGAGCTAAAATGAACACAGAGTAATACTGTTAACTGATGGTACACGGAGGGATTATAATCATTGTAATGATACAAAGTGTATGATGTGTTGAATGTTAATGATCTGCCCTGTAAACTTTCACTCAAATCATAATAAATACTTAGAAAAAGAAAAAAGAAATGTATATATATACATATATTTCTGAAAAACACTTTGCCCTGAAAGAAATAAAAAAGAAACATATAATTAAGAAATAAATCTGTGCACTGCGGTCTGCTGTCGATGAAAAGTAACGTCACAATTAGGAGAACTCTGAACTCAATCACTAATTATGGAGAAAAAGCAGGTAGAAAATCTACAGAACAGACTCTTTAAAAAGGGAATAATAACGGGTTTTTTGTGATCCTGGGCAAAAGACATAAGAAAATGCCACAATACAATTCACGACTAAACTTTAGGATGGAACACAAAATGTCAGTGGCTCAGCCACCTCCTGTATAGCACAACAGCTTCCCTCCCTGCTCTGGTCACATCTGCTCCCTGGGTGTCCTGGGTCCCACTCTGTCCACTCACTGGGCACCCAGCTAGCACCACACACACTCAGTGGTGAGGAAATGGAGGGATTACGGGCTGCAGTTGGCATTGCACTGGGACTCCTTGGAGAGCCTGCCCTCTGTCCTGTGGCTCCTTGCTTATCATCTGTTGCTTCATCCCACCCATACCCCCCGGGCACGGCACTGCACTGAACACACAAGAGCCAGCCTATCTACACAGCAACTCAGGTTCTCTGCTGGCTTGGAGAACTGAAGCCAAAGACAGATTCCTCAGACCCACAGGGCAGCTTCTCAGGGACACTCTCCTCAGAGCCACAGAACACACTCATAAAAGGGTCATTTCCATGGACCTCACTAGATGGAATACACAGCAATCAAATGGACTCCATGTATGGGAAGAAATGGTGGAAAAGCTCCATCTCATCAGCCAACACAAGGCCGGGAAGGAAGACTGCGGACCAGGCCACCAACATTCATATGCAAGCTCAGGCAGAAGGTAATGAAACTTAAAGCAAGTCCACAAGAGGCAACATATGATCTTGAACATATCCCACCTGAACTTCAAGATTATCTCAAGAACAAGTTTGATACACTAACCATTAGTGACCAAAGACCAGGACATTATACAGAAGAAAGCAAAATGAACATTAGATAGGAAGAAAGCAAAAAAAGTCACTAAAAAGACAGGAAGGAAAGAAAAGGTCAAAATGAGATGTCACAAGAGGCTCTGAAACTTGCTCTCCAGTGTAGGGATGCTGAAGCAAATGAAGAAATGAGGAGGTAAAGGAGCTGAACAGAGAATGTCAAAGGGCAGCTCAAGAAGAGAAAGTCAAGTATTAGAATGAAATGTGCACAGATGTGGAGTTAGTAAACCAGAAAAGAACATGGCCAGCAATTCTCAAAGCTGAAAGAATTGAAGAAAAAATTCAAACCTTGACTTGTAATACTGTGGCATTGCAGGATAAGCACTGGATGGAAAAGTCAGTTGAACCGCAAGGTTGGTGGTTCAAATTCATCAGCCGCTCCTCGGAAACCCTATACAGGGTCACTATGAGTCAGAATCATCTCGAAGGCATTTAACAACCCAACCTCGAGCAAAATATTGAATGATGCTGAAAACATCAAAAGAAGATGGGGGAGCCTAGATCCAGAGGATGCGGAGGAAGGTAGAATCTCCACTGAGTAGTATCCAACCTGTCTGGGCGGGGCTGATGAAAAGAGATGGGGATAGGACTCTTGTGGTACAATAGTGAATAACTGCTATCAGGACTGACTGTGAGGGTTGGAAATGTAAAGGTAGACATTTTGTAACAAAATGAGGGGAGTGATTGACTTTGTAGTCCAGGAGCTGAGGTCCCTGGAACCATCAAGGGAGAAGAGTGGAGTGCAGGACCCTACCCAGAGACGGAGGCAGAGACGATGACGTGGAGAGATGGAGCAGCTGGGGACTCTAGCCTCAGAGAGGGAGAGGGGCTGCATGCTGACAACCGAGGGGCAGGCTTGCGGGGTATATACCCTTTGGTTGTTTGATGATGCATGGAGGGGATTATAATCCTGGCAATGAAATGATATACAACAGGATGAATGTGAAGCTAATATTCTCCCATGAAAACTATCACATAATTCACAAAAAAACATTTATTTAAAAAAATAAAAAAGATAATGGAAGGAATACAGAGAAACTGTACCAAAAAGAAATGGTTGATGTTCAATCATTTGAAGATGTAGTGTATGAACAAGAACCAATGGTACTGAAGGAAGAAGTTTCAGCTGTACTGACGTACTGGTAAAGAACAAGGCTCCAGGAACTGATGGACGACACTAGAAATCTTTCAACAAACTGATGCAGCACTGAAGATGCTCACTCATCTAGGCCAGGAAATGTGGAAGACAGCTACCTGGCCAGCCGATACCAAAGAGAAGTAACCAAACTGAATGCAGAAATCATCAGGCAATATCATTAATATTACATACAAGTAAAATTTGCTGAAGATAATTTAAAAATAGCTGTCACAGTACGTGGACAGAGAAATGCCAGAAACAAGCGAGATTAAGAAGAAGAGATGGAACTAGGGATTATCAATGCTGAAGTCAGATGGATCTTGGCTTGGCTTGGCTAAAAACAGAGACTACCAGAAAGCTGTTTACTTGTGCTTCATTGACTACGCAAAGGCTTTCAACTGTGTGGATCATGACAAGGTATGGATACCACTGTGAAATGGTATTCCAGAACATTCCACTGTGCTCATGAAGAACCTGTACATCGACCAAGAGTCAGTCATTCAAACAAAACAAAGAGACACTGAATGGTTGACAATCTGGAAAGGTGTGTACCAAGGTTGTATTCTTTCACCATACTTATTCAATCTGTATGCTGAGCAAATAATCCAAGAAACTGGATTGTATGAAGAAGACTGACATGTTAGGATTGGAGGAAGACTCAGTAACAGCCTGTGATATGCACATATTACAACCTTGAGGAGGGAAAGCCAAGAGGATTTAAACTACTACTGTTAAACTTCAGAGACTAATGCCTTCAGTAGGGATGACACTTCAGTGTGAAGAAAACAAAAATCCTCACTACTGTCCCAATAAATAACGTCATGAACAATGGAGAAAAGACTGAAGTTGTCAAAGACCTCATTTTCCTCACATCAACCATTCACACTCATGAAAGCAGCAGTGGAGCAATCAAATGATGTACTTATTATATTAGGGAAACCTGCGGCATAAGGCCTCTTAAAGTTGTTCAAGAGCAAAGATGTCAGTTTGAGGACTAAGGTGCACCTGGTCCAAGCCATGGAATTTTCAATAGCCTCATCTGCAAGTGAAAGTTGGACAATGAATAATGCAGCTGGCAGAAGACTTGATGCATTTGAGTTCGGTGTTGGTGAAGACTATTGAAGGTACCATGGACTGTCAGAACAAACAGGTCTGTGTTGGAAGAAGGACAGTCGGAGTGCTCCTTTGAAGCAAGGATGGCCAGACTTTCTCTCATACTTTGGACATGTTATCAGGAGGGACCAGTCTCTGATGAAGGACATCTGTGCTCAGGAAAGTGGCGGGTCAGGGAAGTAGAGGAAGTCCCCCAACGAGATGGACTAATGTGGTGGCGTCAGTAATGGACTCCAGCTTCACCACAATTGTAAGGATGGTATAGGGTTGGGCAGTGTTTTGTTCTGTTCTGCACACCCTCTCAGACCCATGGGACAGCCTCTCAAAGGCATTTTCCTAAGAGCCATGGGTGTTGTTCTCAGACATACAGGATAGCCTCTTGGGGTATCTTCCTCAGACTACAAGACACCCCCTCCTCAAGGGCATTTTCCTAGAGTCACAGAACAGTCTCTTGGGAGTGTTTACCTCAGACCCACAACACAGCGTTTCAGGGCATTTTCCTCAGAGTCCCACCTGTTGGCATCTCACCTGCTGAAACCACGGATCCAATAATCTAAAAAGTCACTGATGGCCCTAGGTCCATGCACCAAGGGGCTGAGGTATGGTAGCCTGAACGTCAGTTTGCTCCTTTCAAAGAGCCCGGAAAGAGGACAGAGGGAGCTTGACGCCCCACCCATGGCAAAAATGCAAAAGTCATCGCTTTCCCTGAAGGCTGAGCCATGGCCTTACTGATTCCAGAAGCCATGAGGCCAACCCAATACCGCCTGTCACCTGCACCGAGTGCCTTCCTACTGGTATCGGGATGTCAGGCACAGTCACGAGCAGCCTTATGCCCTAACCGTCCCACACCAATCACACACAAGTCCACCTGTCTACCAGCTGAGACGACCCTCTGGGGGGTCAGGGCACTGAGCGGTGGAGAGCCCCTGAGATCTGTGTCATGCTTCTGCTCTAGGCCGTACCCAGCGTCCTGACCCTTCAGCGCTGGCTCAGAGCTGCAGCATGGAGCCACACAGTCAAGTCTCAAGCACTAGCAGGGTTTGAAAATCACCCCTATGAGAGGTCTCAGCAGGGAGGAGGACACACAGAGAGACAGGCAGTCCTCACCCACCCCAGTGCAAGCACCACGAAGGACAGCACCAGCAGCTGCTAAGGAGGCCCAGGGGAGCGAGCAAATGTCAGGACTGACAGAGCCCCTCTCGTGAGGACACCACATCAGAGGTAGGGGACAAAGGGACGTCTGACGAAAGGCTGGACACTGAGGAGCATCAGGGGCCCCAGGGCAAGCATCTGGTAGGCCAGGCCACCAAGGCCATCTTCCTGCACAGAAGCACAGCACACCATGGTACCAGAGTTCCCTCCCTGGACTGGTGTCCTGCACAGAGAGCCCTGCCCGCTGTGCTGTTCTCACTGGAAAAGCAGGAATGTGCATGGCTAAGTCATGGAGCGTGTCAAGGCCATGGGGTCAGCAGCAAGAGCGGAGGGCAGGCCCCTGTGCTCACACTCTAGGGGGCCAAGACACATCTTCCAACAAGAACCCCAAAGTTTACTTTCATTATGCATACACATTCTCACCACCTCACACCAACAGGGGATCTGCTAGGGTTCACTGCAGAGAGCTCCTGGTGGGCAGGCGGGCAGTAGGCAGCCACCCAAGGTATCCTGCCAGGGCATGAGCGGCTAGGCCCTGTCAGCCTGAGTCAGCTCTCGGAGCCCGGAGTCACTGCGGGCTCCAGGGGTGCACATTCCGTCTAGGCCATAGCCCTGCACATGGCCGTGCCCCTGGGGACCCACCGCAGCGCTGGTGTTGGCAGGGGCGGGCTCAGCAGCCCCGTTCATGTCGGCGCTCCGCTCCCGCTTGCTCCCCTCCAGGTCTGTCACCGTGCCAGGACCCTTCTTCTTCTTGAGCTTGGCCAAGATGGAGGACTCGCGCTCTGGGAACGGGGGCATCTCCTCCAGGACAGTGGCCAGGATGTCGGTGCTGGCGATGGTACTGAGCCGTAGATACTCCACAGCCCGCTGCTGCAGCTCCACGTCAGCATTCCGGAGCTGACTGTCACTGCGCAGCACGTCCTGGATGGTGGCCTTCACCTCTGGGAAGAGGTTCACAAATTTGATGTACGTGGACAGGAGGAGTGCCCTGGTGGGGACGCTGCACAGATGGAACTTAGAGTGGAGTAAGCTGAACTGGATCAGGGGGCTGCAGGGGCAGAGACAGGCAGGGGACAGTCAGCAGCAGCCCCCCACTCACCTATGTGCTTACCCTAGCTCCCCGCTTCTCCCCGTCCCCTCCTAGAAGCGCCCAAGCCTCTGTGCAGGGAGGCAGGGTGTACCACACCGCCCACTCAGAATCCCCACCTTGTTTGTCTATGGCCTAAAAGAAACCAAAAGCTCTAACTCCCTCCACTTCACGGGGCCTGGAGCACGGGGCTCTCTTTACAACTCTCTCAATGGATTTAAAGAGACAACAGTGACTCAGGAGGAGACAGGAAGCTCAGGGGCAGTGACTGGCTGTTGCTGGGAGAGGAGCTAGGAGACATGTCACTGGACTGCACACATAGAAACCGACCAACTGCTGTATGTTCTGCTGTGTATGTTCTCCACAACATTCAACAAAATGGTTTTTATAGTGTTCCCTCCCCTCAAGATATAAGTAAGTCCAAAAGAAGGCTTTGACTCCAAATTTTTAGGGGGTGTGGAGTGGGGCGGTTCTCTTCTTCCCTACAGAGGCAAGCTCACACTCCCTGGTGGTCTGACAAGTCCTGGAGGACACAGTCCACATCTACTCGCCCCTCCTGCACGCGTGGTGGGGTGAGCTGGGCTGGGGGCGGCCATCATCAGAGTGACCACTCCGACTGGTCTTTTCCACAAGGGCTCTTACCTGGATCTTGGGTCCCCTGCTATCAAGTTTCCAAACTCCCCTAAGATGTAGCCGCCCACTTTGAGCAGATTTTCATGGCACGCTGGTGCTTGGAGAGCCTGCAAAGTCATGAGAGGGAGTGAGCCGGCCCCGGTGCCTCAGAGCCCAGGGAGCCAGGCCGGGTGGTGCGTGCTTCTGAGAAGGAATGGGGGAAAGGCTCAGCCCACTGTCCGCTGGGCTTTGTTTTTCATGCCACTGCCATGCTTGCCCCAGAACTTCCTAAAACCCCCAGCAGAATGCCAACAGGCAGCGCTGGGCTGACCGACGCTTCAAGTAGGGCAAGTGAATGTCAGACCCTCATGGGTACCCCAAGGTCCAAAGTCGCTGCTCCCTCTCCCCACATCATAGAGACCCCCACTGCCTACTAGCACAGCACTGAGCCAAGACGAGAGGCCTAGGCCACCTGGGCCCGCAGTCCCCAGGAACATGGACCACAAACTGCCTCTCACCCAGCACCCTGCACCCCACAGCACCCACCTCAAACACAGTCTTGGCGGCGTAGCCCTGTACATCGTCTCTGTTGATGACAATCTGGATGACACGGTACCACACTTCCTCACTGATATAATCACCTGCGATGCGGATCAGGTTCAGGATGGTGTCCACATACCACGTGTAGTCCACGGCATACTTCTCTGCCAGGATGGCCACCTTAAGCACCTGCACAGACAGAAAGGTCCTTCTCAGCATTGCCCACTGCAGACTCCCGAAGAGTCCTGGAGGTTCAGGCAGGCAGAGCTGAGGTGCAGATAAGAGGCCGGTCCAGGGGGACGATGTCCTCACACTTCGGGCCACCTCCCATCTTGGCTTCAACACACAGAGCAGCCACGATTCTGGACCTTCTTTCTGTCTCCTCAGTGCCTCAGTCTCCTCCTCCATCCCCTTGCCCCCATCAGCACTCTGGGCCTCCACATCTGCCTCCTCTGTCCACAGACACAGAGCCCAGCATGATCCCCACATATATACACCCCTTCCCAGCAACCACCGGCTGCTCCTCTCTACTCCTACCTTCACATAGGCCACAGGCATTCTCTCCCCATGCCTGCCGGCAGCCCTCCACAAAACCCCCACCAGCGCTGTCTCCTGGCTAGATCTCTCCGAGCAGGGCCAGCTCCTTCCTTCACAGGACATGGGCTCCGGGCTCTGACCCCTCTACTGGCCAGCTAGACCGATAGACCAGATCCCTCGGCAGAACCCAGGAAGGGATGATGGGACCTGACACACTCGACCCTCCACATGTAAAGGGAGCAAATACTGCTGACCTGAGAACTCCCCCACTCCCCAGCCTGAAACGCTCTCCTCTCCACAGCTTCACATGCTGTTCCTGGCCCTTCTCCAGGTATCCTTGCCCCTTGCTGCCCCACCCAGCCTGTTCCTGGCTGCTGTCCCTCAAGGGCAAGCCCCATGGTACCAGTCACTTGTACCGCCAGCCTCCTACAGTCCGCACACCTGTAAGGCCTGTGCACCTGGAGATGGGGCCAGGAGCCTGACACTGGACACTGTCACCCCACAAAGCTTCAAGGAGCTGCAGCTGACACACTGGCTCCCACAGAGGCAGCTAGGAAAAAGCTTTCCTAAGGTTGCTAAGTCCCATCCCAGCTGCAAATAGAGAGGTGGCTCCTTTCAAGTCAGGCTACTGCAGGGCCACAGCCACTGCCACGGCCGCTCCAGCCGCCCTCACACACGGAGCCCTCACACACGGTCAGTCAGGGGGAAGCAGGCACCAAGCATGCGCCAGCCGGCCGGCTGGGGTCTCATCAGAACCATGCTGAAACTGAAAGAGACTCCCAGACCTGCTGCCAGGGACCCTGCACGCAGTCTCTGTCTGGGAGCCAACTGAGCCCTCCTCCGGCTAGCAGGACTCACAATCTCCTCACGGATGGAATAGTCAGCCGTCTCCAGATAGCTCAGCATCTCGGCCACAATCTGCTGGGCATTACTGCGGTCACACATGGCATATAGTAGGTCCACAGCCCGCTGCCGCACGCTCACGTCTCGCTCCGTCTGGGGAGATGAAGAGGCGGGTCAATGGCCAGCTGGTGGGCAGCACAATCAACCCCCACCACACCAGCACAGACCCCATGCAGGAACTTGCCTTGAGGGCGTTGATGACGGTCTCGATGTGCGTCTTAACGGCCTCGTGCGAGAACTCGGAACTGGCCAGTGTGCACATGCTCTCCAGTGCCAGGTAACGCAGGTTGGTTTCCCGGTGCTGTAGGAACTGGCCCAGCTGGTTGCAGGCGCGGACCAGCAGGTTGGGTTCACTAGAGGGAGACAGACAGGCAGGCAGGCGTCCTCAGCAGGCCCCATGAACAGGCAGCCTGCCCAGTCCTAGCCACATACCAAGACACCGGGTAGTCTCGGCCCACTGAGTCACAGTCACGCAGGAGAAGGCACCTCACCTCAGAGGTCACCAACAGCCCAGTCAGACCAGCACCCCAACACCCACGGAGCAGTTCCAAGCACACCACAGAATTCCAGTCACTCCTGGAGCCAATGACAATGGAGGCACCATGTCACCCAAGCAACCACGGAACCCCGGGCACCAGCCCTGACCAGACATACTGGAAGCCTTGGGCAGAATTCATGGAGGAAGCAGCAATTGTGGGGGACTCAGACCAACCCCTCCCTCTAGGCCCATGGCCAACAGTTTGGTCACATCAAGTCTATGCTGACCCGGTTCCGTGCTCTCACAGCTGTTCCTCCTGACCTCACAAGGGTAAATAGTTTCCCTCTGACACTACAAGTCCGGGGGGTTTCTGGGGTGGTTGAAGATTTTTGTGTTTACCAGTCTCCGGCACTGCTACGTCTAACTCTGATTTTCACACATTTGTCAACAGCAGTGGAGACGAGCAGTTGTAACTGCACCCACAGAACATGCCACCGAGGCTGCTGCTCGCCTGCATGCCTGACGCTGCTCTAACACAGTTAGAACCGTGGGGGTCCTCACACAGGAATGTATCATAAAACACCCAACACTGCTCACATGCTGGGATGGTCACACTTGGGACTCTGACTGTGAGCACAGAGCAGAAGGCAAGAGTGTAACCCTCCCCCCCACGGTTGTGCTGTCCTGACAAAGGTGGTCACTCATCACTGCCCACTACAGCCTGGGCCCCACCCAAGGGCTTCCTGGTGCCCAGCGAGCTAAGACACCACCAACAAGCGCAGATGCAAACTTACATGTGTGTACATTCCATTCTCTCTGTCCAATCCTGTGGACAGTCAGCCAGCAGCAGGAAAGTGTGGGTGGAAGAGGTCCGAGGAAGGAGAAGGCGCCAGGGAAGTTAAGACCCCCAACCAACAAAGCTTTAAAGCCGGAGAAAGAGCACGCAGTACTGGAGTCAGGAGGGACAGTGGTTGTGAAGTAGTGAAGAGAAAGGAGGGAGAGGTGTGAAGTGAAGAGAAAGGAGGGAGAGGTGTGAAGTGA